TTATAAACTTCCTCAAAAAGAAGATTAGAAAACAATCCAAATTGTTAATAATATTATGTATTATAGTGGTTGATGAGCATGATCTTACCTCCTTTCTACATCTAAAAATCTGGCAGTCAAAAATAGTAATACTTTTAGAAAATTTAAATTCTAGTTTACCTGGTATTATTGGATGATCACATATCAAACAATTTGCCCTCTTTGCTCCTAAACACTACTATCTAGAATGCTCCTTAAATGGTATCATCATATAACACATGCATTTTCATTCTTAACACATTTTGATTTCCCAGGATTCCTGCCCTGTGACAATTAGCCTTTCTCTCCCACTCCCCCTAAGAGCCTACACAGACCTTGTCAACTCTTGTCCCTCAAACCCCCTACTTATTTAAGCAATGCCACTCTCTTCCTCTATCATCCCTTCCTTCTGGTAACCTAAGCCTCTTCCTCGTGAGGTGACTCTGTACCACACTACCAAGTTCCTGCACTTCCTGGAGGCTCTGCTGGCTCCCAGGCATGCATTTCTAGAAGTAATCTTGGGCCCATTCCATAGTAATCTAGGGTCTTCTACTCAGTCTTAATTCTAAAGGATACTGTCTTCTGATCCCATCATTCCCTTAAAAAAAAAATCTAGCTGAGGGTACTGCTCATAGTCCATTCTTGATGCTCTCCTCCCTCAGCCTGCAGGACCTCACATCCTCTTAACATTTCCTCCAATCACTCCGATTCCTTCTCAGTCTTTCTCATCAGCTCAACGCCCATTCTCCAACCTCCATTAATTGCCAAGTTCCATTCTTCTCTAGTCTACACAATCTCACCCACTCTAAGGCTCTAACAGCTATCTGCCTAGCTGCTTAAAAAGGAAAAATTTTAGTCAAACTAAAGCTTCACCTACCAGACAGGTAAACTGAAAGGTCTAGAGGACATAGACATTTAATTCATGCACTATTAGTGAAATTTTACTTTGGGAAATGAACACCTTTAAAGAGCCTTTGGTATGGTAGAAGACTTTCCATTGTATCTTTAAAAGGCAGTTTATACTCACCTCTCTCTTTCAGCTCATTAAAATCATGAATATTCTGAAAAGTGGTAGCATCTAAGCCCTTAGGGGACTGTCTTCTGACAGGAGCTTGTACCCGATGTCTGGCCATATCAAATATATCCATAGGATTCCTTTCCCTTTTCCTATAAATGACAATATCATGGTAAATGTGCTTTATAGAAAGCAAACGAGTTCACTATTTAATTCACTATAAAAGCAACTTGACATCTTTCACAGAACTATATTACATAAATTGTAGCAGCTCTGCTATTTCAATCTCTTATTGCTAAAAACTAAGGAATTTATAGGGCATGGTGTCACTTGTCTGTACTCCCAGCACTTGAGAGACAGAGGAAGATCAGAAGTTCAAGGCCAGCCTCCGACACATACTTTGAGGTGGCCTACATGTAATCCTGTCTCAAAATAACAAATAACAAAAACAGTAACAGAAAAACCACATTTCATAAGGTCATTATAGTCTTTCAGAATGCTGAGAGACACAAAGCTCCTTGTTACTATAAAATGTTCATGTACTAGAAAGATCACAGTATTGGGAGACAGAAAAATAGATTCAAAGACCAAGTCTGGAACCTGGAGAAATAGCTGAATGGTTAAAAGCACTGGCTGCTCTTGCAGAGGACCCGGGTTCAGTTCCCAGAACCCACATGGTGACTCAGGGAGTCCGAGGCGCTCTTCTGTCCTCCACAGGCATTGCACAACACAGGTGCACTTACATAACTTGCAGGCAAAACACTCATAAAATAATTTTTTAATGTAAAAAAAACAAAGACCAGGTCTACTGCTTAGCAGCTTGACCTTAATGCATTATCTATTAAATGCAGATAATGTTTATCCATTTCAGTCATGTTGTAACAAGGGCATGTAACATGAAGAGCATATAACATGAATTAGGTAATCAGTAAAGGTTACCCTTCCTCTCAGCCTAAAGTAGAAATTACACAGACAACCATGGTATTAATGTTCTACTCAATACTAAAGGGATTATAAAGAGTCCCAATAGTGATTTTATTTAAAAAAAAAAAAAAATACCCAGGCCTGGAGAAATAGCTTGGTGGTTAAGATCAGAGGATCCAGATTCGATTCCCAAGTAGCTAACAACCATCTATAACTCCAGTTCCAGGGGGAATCCAATGTACTCTTCTGAACTCTGCAGGGATTGCATGACATGGGTGCACTTACATACTTGCAGGCAACACACACACATAAAATTAAAAAATAAAAATAAAATTTTTAAAAATTATAGTGAAATAAAAATTCCCAGAAAACAAGATATCTAAATTAGTTAAATGATATTCTATTCCTTTGGTACCTGGCTAATAACATGCTAGGGAGCTTAGGAAGGGAGTTTTCTCTAGGGCCTGACTGTTTTTTCATTTCCCCAAAGGAAAGGGATAGAAAATGGTAATGCTAGTTCTGAAAACAAAGACCAAATACCAATTGCTGTTTCCTTTAGCACTAATCAGCTCCTCTTCTTTTTGAAAATGAGATCTAAGGTATAGTCATAAAAGGTTTGGTTGGATTCCTTCTTTCATGTCTTTATAATGTATAATGTTCTCTAAGCAATTAGATAGGAATAGCTGGGGTTCCCACTCATGGAGTTTCCTTTCTGTCAGGGAATTTTCAGAAGGGCCAAGAAATGGCCCTGACAAGGCTAACACAGAACTCTAGCACTCAGCTAGATTGAAAACGATTCATTAAAATTCCTAGGAGTCTTTTACAATAGGGTTCTATCTACTTTCCCATAATACTAATAGGTAATTGAATTGAATTGATTTGTTTTAGTAGTAGATCTCATTTACATGTGGGCTGCATATTTTTTTCATGCCTAGCACATAGAAGCTTGATAATGTGATAAAATAATAAAGATACTCTTTTTATGAAGATACTTTATGAAATTAGAATAAGAACCAAACCTGATATGTCTCTAATCATGGTACATTTTTTTTTTTAATGTGTATGAGGGTATTGCCTGCGTGTATGTGAGTGCACCCGTGTCATGCAATGCTGCAGAGATCAGAAGAGGGCTTCAGATTCCCCTGGAACTGGAGTTAAGGACAGTTCATAGCCACCACGTAGGTGCTGGGAATCAAACCTGGATCCTCTGCAGAGCAGTCAGTGTATTCTTAACTGCTGAGCCATCTCTCCAGCCCCCACAGTACATATTCTATCAAAGTAATATATTTAACAGATTCTTGTTTAGTAACCCTAATGTATTTTTCCTAAGTTAGTATTCAGGGTTCACAAAGCACTAAATCCAAGCCTGTCTTTGCTCTTGGGAGGGAATATGCTAGATTTAGTGATTTAGGACTAAGCAATAGCTTTCCAGTGCAGCTGACCAATAAACAACATTTGAATCAGGTGATATTGTGCACCTTCATAGGATGTGATGGAGAATAGCCTCTGTGATGGTTTGAATGAGACTATCCCCATTGGTGCCAAAATATTTGGAGTATTTGGCCTTAGTTGGCGGTGCTGTTTGTGGAGGTTTAGGAGATACAGCCTTCCTGGAGGACAGACAATTGGGGGAAGGGGGCAGTTGAGAGTTCATAGCCTAGTCTCACTTGCAGCTACCTATTCTCTCTGCTTACTGTGCCTCCTTGAGGATGTGAGCTCTCAGCTATCTGCTCCAGCTGCCTCCTGCCATGACTCCCTGACCATAATGGACTTTTGTCCCTCTGGAACCATAAGTCAAATAAACTTTCTTCTGTAAGTTGCTTTGGTCATGGTGTTTTATCACAGCAACAGGAAAGTAACTAATATACACCCCCAGCTCTGCTTTCCAAAACCTCTTCATCCAGTCTAGTCATCAGAAGACTCATACACATCCAGACTGGGGAGTACTACAGAATTCCTAGCCAGCACCTGACAACTTCTGCAATGAAAAAATATACTGAAAAACTGTCCCAGACGAGAGGTGACTGGAAACAATGACAACTAAATGAAAACGTGGACATTCGTAAGGGACACTAGAAGTATGACCCTAGGCAAGATATCCAGAGAAGTGTGGACTTTTAATAACAATAATGTTGCAATGTCTTAGTTGTGACAAATATACTCTCATAATATTAAGGTGTCAACAATAGGGAAGATACCTAGAAACTCTCCATACAATGTTTCAACTTTTCTATAAGATTATCCCATAATAGAAAGTTTATTTAATAAAGAAAAAAATGGGTTGTAGTAGCCCACTACTGATTTTAAAGCTACTGAAAGACTATTACCTATAGTTTGAGAGCACTGCTTTAGATAATTGAATCCTTCTAGCAAAAATGATCAGCTTGTACCTGGTGTGGTAGCACATGCCTTTAATCCCAGCACTTGGGAGGCAGAGGCAGGCATACTTCTGTAAGTTGGTGGCCAGGCTGGTCTACATAGTGAGTTCCAGGCCACCTGGGACTACAGGGAGACCCTGTCTCAAAGAAAAGAAAAAAAAATTTCTATATGATCATATATTTTTATATGTTTTGCTAGGAAATGAATATCCCAAAAAAGAATACATTATTGAAAAAATATATAAAAACCCTAAAACATAATAGTGTGCAATCATTCCAATCTTGAAAGTTTCCATGACTGTATCATTATTTCCTACCTATCAAATTTCCTAAATTTCTACATCTGATTTTGTACAAGACTACTAAAAAGCTAAGGAGAATCTAAGATTAAGTAATCACATTCCAAAACTACGGAATTACTGGATTAGGTGCAAGAAAAGAAATGCAACTCAGACATGCCTTATGTGGCTTTCATCATCACTGTCCATGTGCAGCAGCCGTCCTTGCAATCGCCTCTCTTCACTCCGAAGTTGTTTCCTCATTTCTGATAATTCCATGATTACGTTTTTCTTCTCCTCTGCAAATTCCCATTCATAAGTAAAAAATAATTATAAAAACAAAAGATTTATTACTAAAATACATCCTAGCTTATCATAAAGGTGCTCAGAGAAACCTTTCTGAAAGATATTTTATGTGTTTAGTTTGTATCTTCATATATACAGATCATATTAATGGACATCATTAAGAGCCATAATCATGGTTTTGGAAATACAGGAATTCTTAAAGTATGAAGATATTCTTAGGGGTATAGAGTGCAATTGTAAAAGGGAAAGTTGTTGGGAGGTGTGGGGGACAACTCTGAAACCTGTTGATAAAAATGCCCGAAACTACACACATGTTTGCACAAACACACTCAAACATACAAGTAAACATGTAAACACTGGTAAAAGTTAATGGAGGTCTACAAAGTGTACCAAGGTCACTGTGATACTATACTACGTAGGATGCTACCACTATGGGAATCTAGAGAAATGGACATGGTACTTCTACTATTTTTGCAACTTTCTACAGCTCTCTTAAGTATTCTAAAATGGTTGCAAAGAAGCAAGAGCTTCTCAATTATAGGTGCATTATCAAACCTACCTTCCGCACGAAGCTGATTTTTCCTTGCAGGTACTGGAGGAGACTGTGCCTTGGACATGGCGCTTTCCTGTTTAACAACAACAATAGATCTCTATCCCTAAGTGTAAAAGGAAACCAAAGTCTACACTATCCTACTTATAAATCTTTCCTACATCCATTTCTCATCTTCCTTCTTAGTACGATGGAAGGAGCCTTGCCTCTAGCAAATGCTAACCCCCATATCTGTAGGTTGTACCTATCTCCTCCAATCATTCTCTTCTCTCTCTCTCTCAAGCTGATGCATAAAACTGTTCTTTAAAAACGAAATTTCTCACCTCCCCCTTCTTTACTCACTATCCATTTACTGCTCATTCTTGCCTTCCCTTCACAGTCAAGCTTCCTTAAAGAATAATAAATGCATTATTTCTGGGGTGTGCTTCCTTATTTCCATACACAGCTACTGTATGCTTCCACACCCCACCACTTCAGCAACACTGGCCTTAACCAAGTGATCCCTAAGTAACACATTCAATTGGCAATACAAGCCCAAATTTTACTTGGCCAGTAACAACTGATATGACTGCCACTTTCTGTCTGTAGCTCTCTCTACTTCTCAGTTAATTTCCTCAAATTCCATCTCCAATTCTCTCTACTTCCCCATCTACACATTTATGCTAGACAATTTAATAAGTACCAGTATGTTAATGGCTTCCCAAACTACAAATCCAGTCTAAAACTCTTCCTTGATCACAATTCAATTTCCAAATGCTACTCTTACCAGAAACCTGAATACTATCCTTGACTCCAGTCTACCACATACTTGTGTGCCTCAATATTTCATGAAGTTGTCAACCCTTCTCAGTTCTTTGTGTCACTGCCCTTGTTTTAAGTCCTCAAAGTCTTCTGCAAAAGCATCTTGTCTCTGTTTAGTCTTTACTGCCTAAAGGAGAACATTACACTAGCAAAAGTGCCTGTTTCATGGGGCTGGAGAGATAGCTCAGCAGTTTATAACACTGGCTCTTTTTGCAAAAAAACCTGTGTTTGAATCCCAGCACCCATATCACAGCTAACAACTGTAACTCCAGGGGATCCAACACCCTCTTCTGTCCTCCGTGGGCATTGTATGACAAAGGTGCACTTATGTACATGCAGGCAATACAAACATACACATAAAATAAAAATAACTAAAAAAAAATTTTTTAGGTGCCCATGTCATCCCATTTAAACATTACAAGGAATCCCTAGGCATTTTCAACAACAGAACAAATGAATCAGACTCTTAGTGGAATTCAGGAAAATAATTTTCCTCACACACTTCTCTGCCTATTCTGGTATTAACAGCCTCTTTGCAATCCACAAGCCCATGGAACAAAGTCAAAATCCATAGCACATCCTCCTATACCTTACATAGTCTACCACCTTGGCACAAAGGCATCACCAAGCCAGACGAACCATAGAAGATTCTCTACAAGGCTTGTCTTGCCCTCCATGTTTTGCACATACTGAAAGTCCATTCCCTCCTTGTCTTTATGGGAAATTACTACTGACTTTTCAAGCATCAACTTAAGAACCAACTTTTCTAAAAAACTTTCCTGGCTCTCTTTTGACTATAACTCAGTCTAAAATATAGAGGACTTTGTAAGTATAACTACAGCCAGTTAGAAGACAAATTTTCAAAGAAAGGGCTCTCTTAAAGAGTCTGGAGACAAATACCACTTACTATAACAGATTATGGTTTACCAAAAGAACTAAACTTTAGGGTACCAAATGCTATCAGTCGCAACTGCAGCAACAGGCAAACTAATGAAAACATTATCCCTCCTACTATAAGGAAATATCATTCACTACCTCAATCCCAAATAACTGAAGATTTAAACACTATATAAAAAAGTATCTACATGAATAAAGGAACTTATGATGGTGTCGACTGAAGGAGGTCTTTGGAGTTTATTTGCAATTTTGTTCTGAAGAGCAGGAACCACAGGAGAAGGCTGTCTCAAGAGCTGAAAATAAATGTAAAGACTTACAGATGTACAGACACATACATACATATATATGTACAAAATCATTTAATAAGTTTAGATTATTATTGCTTTTAATAAGATATTTTTTAGAAAAGAAAAATTCTATCAGTTATATAAGATCAAATTAACTTTCTGGAGAAGAAAGCTCTGTCTAATAACCGTGATTCATGATTCATGTACCCAAATCTGAACATCAATCCCCTGCCTCAGAGGTATGGACTTGAAAACCAGTCTGTGGTGAATCACCAGTTTATTTTTTTATTTCCAATATATTATATAAAACAGAGTAAGAATATATCACTAGATAAATGAAAAGGAGAATGACTGTTATATTCATTAGGCACAAAGTTCCAACAGAGAATTGCTAGCCCCACACAAGAGAAGTTCAGTACACAGTGTCCACACTCAATTGAAAAAGTGTGGAAAAAAGCAGGCATACAAAGACCATCTCCTTTTTCCCTTTTTCTAATTTTTCCACAATTATGATGTGCATGAACTGCAATATGAGTCTGACCCATTTTCATCTGAAGCTTACCTTTATTTCATCTCCAATCATATTTTCTCTTTCATAATAGTGCTGAAGTTGTAAACTATGCTTTTCTTCTTCTTCTTTCTTCTTTCTTTCTGCTTCTTTTCGTCTTTCTTCAGCTAATCGAATGAGTTCTTCATTTTTCAGCCTTTGCTTTAAAATAAAGGAAAAAATAAACTTCTTGCATATACTTGGAGTATATTTAAGATTTTGTTATTTGTCTAAGTGGCTGAAAAAATGGGTCAGTGGTTAAGAGCACTGACTGCTCTTGCAGAAAAACCCAGGTTTGAATCCCAGCACCTACATGGCAGCTAACAACCATCCATAACTGCAGCTCCAGGGGATCTGACGCCCTCTTCTGACCTCCACAGGTACTACACAATACTGGTGCACTTACACAAATTAAGGCATGACACACACACATAAAATTTTAAAAATTAATCAAAAAATTATTTGTCTAAAAAAAAAGAAGTAAAATTGAAGATATAACTGATACAGTGTTCTACAGAAAAACTTTTATAGCATCTTCAGCCTATATATAATTTTTAGTTAAAAAATCATTTCTCTTTCTTAAATTAGTAATTGATCCCAGTAAAATAATATACAGTGAAGATGACAATCTGGTGATCTCTACATGTACTTCAAGAGAACAGTACTCTCAACAAGTAATGAATGTCTTTTCAAGTCAAAACAAAGCTTTCACTTTCAGACCAAGTAGGAATATGGAGGAGGGAAGCATACCTCCTCCTCCTTTTCCCTCTTCCTCTCCTGTTCCTCTTCATACTCCTGCTGAATCCTTGCTCTCTGTTCTGCAAGTCGTTTTTCTTCCTTTTCTTCTGCAATTCTCAGTCTCTCTCGCTCTGCTTCCTCTCTTTGCCTCTTTTCCTCAATCTAAAAAACTAAGTTTAGTTATTATTTTGTAAACTATAGAAAAGTTAGAACCTTACTTTTCCCAGGATTCTCACAGATTCAACATTTATAACTTCTATTCACTAGTTCCTATATTTTTTGATGTCCTGTATTTCATTAGGAAGGGTACACGTTAAATGTAAAAATGTTAAAAGCTGAGCTAAATTCTCACTCCACCAAATACAGAATGTATGACCTTAAAAAACTGTCATAGCCTCAATTTTCACATCTAGTGAGTTATTAATATTCACAACTGGAAAGTGCTCAAAGAATTAAAATGAAACAATATGAAGAACATAGATGTTCTTCCTATATAGAAGGGGTTCAGTAAGTTCTTGTAGTGATATGATTCTAAGATGATTACTACTGTATCTCAGGAGCTTAAACTTGAGTAAAATGCCCATACAAGAATAACTTAGTATTTTTGCATTCAAAAACTTTTTAATGAAAGGGTTGATTCCTCAAAATGCTTTCTTCTTAACCTAACTACTGGCAAAGTAACAGGAAAGGAATTAAAACTTAGGGTATAAGCAGCTCATTAGTTGAATGTATGCTTCACAGGCACAATGTCCAGGCTCAATCTTTAGCATGTGTATACACACACATATACACACACACACACACACACACACACAAACACACAAAATCTTTAAAGGTGTAAGAGGTTAAGGAATATAAAGTTTACTCATTGAGTGTCACCTTGAGTATTTCTGAGTGCACAGGGGGAGAATATTCCACAGCAGAGTATAAGATCTAAAGGGAAGAAAGCTCTAAAAATTAGTGCATACCCTCTACAATACGGCAGGGAAGATAGAAGAGGGTAATTTTGTTTGTTTGTTTGAATTTTCTGGTGCTTTGAAAGAAAGTCTCACACTGAGGCTGGCCTCGAGCTCCCTATGTAACTCCAGGCTGGCCTGAAATTCATGGTGATCTTCCTCAGTCTCTCAAGTGCTATGATTACAGGAGTGAGCCACCAAGGCCAGCTGGTACTGAATACTTATGACTGTGGTTTAAGGTTATCAATAGATTTGTAAACCCTGGACACAGATTATAGTTATTCATATTGTTTATATTTTTCATCTCTGGATTTCCTCCAGCTTTAAGGTTGCATGGTTTCAATGCAACTCGATCTTCCTATATGACCGATGATCTACATATGTTTATTCTGACACTTCTCATGACACTTATATAGCACAGCCTAATATTCAGTATCAAGCAGTGTATAGGCATCGCAGCACGTATTCAAGTACAACATATCTAGAAAAAACATTTAGGATCCAACAAAATCCTATATTCAACACTCAGATCCTCCTTCCTCTTCCATGAAAACAAAAATCACTAAAGGACCACTGTTCATCAAAATCAAATACTGCCAATATGTAAACCACTAATGGATCACATGTCTAATAAATCCACAGTCTGATGCCAACAGGCATTTTAAGCAGTAATTCAGCAACTTCGATCACCTAGCTCAATTTTCAATCTATATACCACAAAAATACCTCAAGAAACCTGCAAGTTTTTAATTAAATTTTCAATTGAATTCATGTACTAAAATTTTTTATTTGTTTTTAAGGCCATAGTTAAAAACACATATCACTCCACTGAGTAGGTGGTGCAAGACTTTAATTTCACCACTCAGGAGGCAGAGGCAGGTGGACCTCTGTGAGATCAAGGCCAGCCTGGTCTATATAGCAAATTCTAGGCCAACTGGGGCTACAAGGATACCTTGTATCAAAAATAAATGGATAAGTAATCACTTACAAATGTTAGTTACCCAATTTTGACAGCATCAGAACTTCTGATGCATTAACTTGAACTAACTGTATTACTTATTTGTGCAGACCTTAGGCTAAAGTTTCTTTTCCCACTTTTATGCACAAATTTTAAGTTTTAAAATATTTGTTTTAATGCTTAAATTTTGGACACTTCTAGTCTAACGGTATATTGTTAATAGCAATAATAAATACCATTTAGCTACTTCACATTTTCTCAGAATTTTGTGTTTTGTTTGAAGATAAAAAGATTTTATGACTCATGAAAGAAAAATTTGAAGATCACCATTTGAGAGCAATCCATTCACGAGTACACTAAGGATTTACAGTGTAGGAGGGCTGAAGGATGAAACTACTAGTCAAAGCTTCTTCCTCTGTTACTAGTAGTCTTTCCAGAGACAAAGACTTCCTAGTGTCCCTAATGTGTAAGTGTGCCATCTACAGACATGACACTTGAAGTCATGAGACTTGGCCTCAAGCATAGGTTTCACAATTCAGCAACTCTTCTACTAGGAGCAAGCCAGTTAGGCTGTGCTTTAGTTGCCTTTTAAAAATACAGATAATAGCCGGGCGTGGTGGTGCATGCCTGTAGTCCCAGCACTTGTGAAGCAGAGGCAGGCGGATTTCTGTGAGTTCAAGGCCAGCCTGGTCTACACAGTGAGTTCTAGGACAGCTGAGGCTACAGGGAGACCCTGTCTCAAAAAGACCAAAAAAAAAAAAAATTACAAATAATACTTTCCTTACCTTACACAGTTTTGCAGTTTAATAAGCTACTATAAGTAAAAGTATTTTGTGAATAATAAAGAGGTAAACAACTATAAGATTTGATGGACTAAGGGGCTAAATTATATCTTATACATCATAGTGAGACTTACTAACTTTAACAACTTATATTCTGAGTTTCTGTTCAAGAGGAAAATAAATATGCCCATGCATTCAATGCTACTTTTGTGTGTCTGATACTGAGCTTTTATTGGTTAATGACTGATTTTATACTTTAGGACATAGTACTCGACTTACAGTGGTTCTATGAATACTTACTAAACCAAGGCCTCAGAGCTATCCTGAGAAATGAATGCCACGGTTATCCAATAGAACACCTGTGTGCAATTAACCTGCTTGCAAGATGCCACCAATAAATTTTGGTGTAAGGAGTGTTTGAACTCCTGCCCTTAATAGCTGTTTCTGTAAACATACCTGCAGAAGGAATTTCTCCTCCGTGGTCTTGAGATATATAAGCATCTGTGCTAGTAGTCACATATGCTGTAGTTTGAATCTACCAATGTTGTAGCACTTAAGATATGATGGGAGGCGGGGCGTGGTGATGCACCCCTTTAGTCCCAGCACTTGGTAGGTAGAGGCAGGTGGATCTCTGAGAATTTAAGGCCAGCCTGGTCTACATAGCGAGTTTCAGACCAGCAGAGGCTACAGAGAGATTCTGTCTCAAAAAGACCAAAATATATATGAGTGGAGAGACCTATAAAAACTGGGGATTTCTGTAACTTCAGTCACAGAACTTTCGAGTGTTAGCTCCTCTGGTCCACAAGCATAAATAAAGTGGATTTTCCCAATTTTGTTTTGTTTCCTGTCAGACAGGGTCTTAATATGCAGCATGGCTGGCCTGAAATCTCATTCCTCCTGCCTCAGTATCCTGAGTACTGAAATTAACAGGTGCATACTACTACATTTGGCTGAAATGCAACTTCTATTTATTTACAATCTGCACTAATGAGTCAAGAATATCACATCATTAGAGAAAGAAATATTGATTTTCTATTCTACTCCCACAAACTTATAGAAAGGTTCATTATACACTCCAGGTGATCAATAAGTGGAGCTGAGAAACCTCAGCACTCACTGATGAACAACTAATGGTTTAATAAAGTTCAGAAATGTCTATGATAGCTAATATTTCATTTCTTTTTTACAGGCATGACTGAAAATATCATTTTAGTATTACCTTTATCTGATACAAAGTAGACATCTTGAATAACTGCATGACATTTTAGAATTTAGTATGCAGTAGATAAAATATCTGCCAGTTTAGTTTATTATTATTTTTATGAGTTTGAAACTATAACCAAATGAGCATTTCACCTGAAAACGAAGAAAATTCTTGTATAATTCTTGCTGTTTAATCTGAAGTTCAGTGGGAGGCTCACTGAATATATTTCCCCGAGCAAAAGGAGAGCTCTGTGTTTGCATATGACCTTGAAAAAAACAATTTGCAAAAATATATTATTAGGAAATGAAAACATTTCTAAGAGACCCACATCTTGAAAAAAAAAAGTTAAATATTGAAATCCTGAGGTTAAAATCAGAGATGGAAGGCTGCGGATAAGAATCTGAAGATCATATGCAAGGTAGCAAGAGAAAGAAAAATAGTGAGACTAAAACTAATAGTTGAAAATCATAGCTCTACTAGCAGAAAGACACTAGGGAATGTACAAGGAAACATACAAGCTAACAGTCTAAATAACTCTCACAATAGCAAAGGCTGTAAAGTAGAAGTCATGAAAAGAAATTCCTATTGAAATTCTTACATATATGAATATCCTTAACAACAGTTCTCAGGGAATGGAGAAGTAGCCCAATGACAGAGTACTCGCTTAG